CAACGTGGCATTGGTGGATGGAGCAAGACATGATGTCCCAGATGTGCTCAATTGGATTCAGGTCTGGGGAACGGGTGGGCCAGTCCATAGCATCAATGCCTTCGTCTTGCAGGAACTGCTGACACACTCCAGCCACATGAGGTCTAGCATTGTCGTGCATTAGGAGGAACCCAGGGCCAACCGCACCAGCATATGGTCTCACAAGGGGTTTGAGGATCTCATCTCGGTACCTAATGGCAGTCAGGCTTCCTCTGGCGAGCACATGGAGGGCTGTGCGGCCCCCTAAAGAAATGCCATCCCACACCATTACTGACCCACTGCCAAACCGGTCATGCTGAAGGATGTTGCAGACAGCAGAATGTTCTCCATGGCATCTCCAGACCCTGTCACGTCTGACACGTGCTCAGTGTGAACCTGCTTTCATCTGTGAAGAGCACAGGGCGCCAGTGGCGAATTTGCCAATCTTGGTATTCTCTGGCAAATACCAAACATCCTGCACGGTGTTGGGCTTTAAGCACAACCCCCACCTGTGGACGTCAGACCCTCAAACCACCCTCATGGAGTCTGTTTCTGACCGTTTGAGCAGTCACATGCACATTTGTGGCCCGCTGGAGGTCATTTTACAGGGCTCTGGCTGTGCTTCTGTCCCTCCTTGCACAAAGGCGGAGGTAGCGGTCTTGATGCTGGGGGGTTGTTGCCATCCTACGGCCTCCTCCACATCTCCTGATGTACTGGCCTGTCTCCTGGTAGCACCTCCATGCTCTGGACACTATGCTGACAGACACAGCAAACCTTGCCACAGCTCACACTGATGTGCCATCCTGGATGAGCTGTACTACCTGAGCCACTTGTGTGGGTTGTAGACTCCATCTCATATTACCACTAGAATGAAAGCACCGCCAGCATTCAAAAGTGACCAAACCATCAGCCAGAAAGCATAGGAACTGAGAAGTGGTCACCATCTGCAGAACCACTCCTTTATTGGGGATGTCTTGCTAACTGCCTATGCTTTCCACCTCTTGTCTACTCCATTTGCACAACAGCATGTGAAATGGATTGTCAATCAGTATTGCTACCTAAGTGGACAGTTTGATTTCACAGAAGTGTGATTGACTTGGAGTTACATTGTGTTGTTTAAGTGTTCCCTTTATCTTTGTGAGCAGCGTACTTAAGCCAAACTGCAAGAACAAGCTTATATAGGACAGATTTTTAGTTAGGGGTATAGTGTGGAAGGACAGAAAGGATAAACTATTCCTCCACTAGCTTCTTGGCTCTCCCCCATCAGAATGACCCAGCTGTCAATCAAATAATAGCATTGGACAAACGATAAGAAGGGGCAGAAATAATGGCTGCTTAGGAGCTCTGCATCCATGGCCCTCAACAAATGGGCTAAATAAACAGAACTAAAGCCTAGGAGTCAAAGCATAAAACTAAACCTTCATGAGAAAAGACAAAACAACAAATGAAACAACTGGAGAGGGGGGATCTTTACTTCCCCTCACAATGGTGTGAGGTAAAAAAAAAAATCAAGCCTTGTAAGGAACAAACAGAAAACAAAAGACCTATTTCTTTGACAGAAATAGAAAATAGACTTAAAAGATAGATTGAACTCTCTAGAAAAAGTTGTACAACTATATGTAGTGACAATAGAAACATAAAGGAATTTTTCATTCCGTTAAGAACAATTCTGGAAGACCACCTGGACAATTTTCTTGGCAAGGCTTTTCAGAAGTAGTTTTCACTGTCTCCTTTCTAGAACTGAGAGAAGGTCACCGGCCCAAAGCCACCCAAATGACTTTCATGCCTTAGAAGAAACTAGGTTTATAACCTGATGCCTTAATCACAGTGATTAAGAAAACCGAAATATAAGCTTTCAATAAATGTACTGAGATGTAAAACAGATATGGAAATACAGTGACATTGGACTTTAAAAGAGTGTACATCAGTCCCCAACCTTTGTGGCTGGGCAGTCCAGCTGGGAGAAAGGGGAACTGGGCTGCACAAAACAGATCGGTCATCACACCGCTGGTACCATCCAAGACCTTAAATAACCTCACACAGAAGTTTCATCCAGCAAGAGAACATCTGGAATCTGCAGGACTCAGTTCAAATTGGCACAAAATGAGCCTAACAGCTGTACTGGCATACTTTCCCCATGCTATTGTCTGAAACAAAAACAGCTAAGAATTGAGGCACCGTATCTACTCAGTGTACTATTATCATAAGAATATTATATAAATTATAGAATATAAAATGGGATGCAAAGAGGGCAGTTGGAAGCTGTGCGCAACACATAGGCTTTTTTCCCTCCTCAGCCCTTTAAGGAATAAAATTTTTACTATGGAATCTGTGGAGAGCGGTGGGTAAAATCTAACAATGAAGAATATATGCGTTTCCCCAGAAAGACGCCAAACGTGCATCACATTGAAACAATAGTCCTGTAGCGAAGTGCTCAATGCTCGCAAGGGAAGCTGTTTTATTCCAGCTGAGGACGATGTAAAATTGCTTTAATTCAGACGATAGGGCGACGATCATGCAATCAAGGGACAGGGCTGTAATCCACCAGCATCTAATCTATCCTAACGTCCACACGCAAACCTCAGCAATGAAGGCAAGGGGACCGCTGATGTTACGGTTAAAAACAGGTTTTACTCTCTTCAGTCCGAACGTCTCGCTCCTTCGCGGATCGGCCACATTTTCAAAGCTAGGGGCAGCCTGAGGAAGACGGTACTCCGTCCGCTTCAACTCGTCCTTCATTAAGGCTACTTGCTGCAGAAGTATTTAACAGCTGGAGTAACCAGAAACTTCGGAATGTTGTCTTTCTGATAAAACTTCCATTTCGATGGGGACATTCCCTTAATCAGCAATCGCAGACTTCCATTTTCCAAATAAACCATTCGTCTGTAGCGGCAAAGCCAAGGAGATATCAATCACGGGCGGCTTCTTTGACAGCAATGTCTGTCTGTCTGTCTGTCTCTCTCTCTCTCTCTCTCTCTCTCTCCCTCCCTCCCTCCTCTCATCTATCTATCTATCTATCTATCTATCTATCTATCTATCTATCTATC